CCCTTTTGGGGAACATTTTAGTTCTTAAAAGAAGAAAGGAAAATACGTCCCCCCCCCCCGAAAAATAGGAGAGAGCCAAAACTGACCAAGGGTATTCTGCAGTGAACCAGAGACCAAAGAATTAACTACCCTCCCTTTCCCACGTCTCTCTCTAGGGAATTAGTTTGCATGTATCAAAAGACGGAACAGCTCGTTTCTGTTTCCTGCTGAGTTGGTGAATTCTTTGCTTTCTCAACTCTTCCAGAAGGGACTGTGAGCAAGATGAATTTACTTTTCTTAAAAAAAAAAAAGTTTCTGGCTGATGAGTCTGAGAGCAGGACCTGCCGTGGGTAGGGTGGGAAGAGTTGGGGGGGGATCTGTGCACTTTTTAAGGTGCAGCCGGCCCCTCTTCACCCGAATCCAGGAGAAGGGAGAGCCTGTTCTCACCGAGGAGCTTCTGTGGAAGTAAAAGGAAAACCCTTTCTTGATGACAACGATTTGTACCTGGGGTCCCTCAGCTGTTGGGTTGCATCCCAACAAATATTGTATGGCTTCTTCTCAAAGCCCAGACTAGTAGGTTTTTAAAGACTGTCCCCCAATAGCTGAGCCAAAAGGCTGTATGAATTCACTTTTTGAAAATGTGGCAGTTAAACACTACCTTGACCATTTCCCCCTCTTTCCTTGAGGAAAAGCTGGAGGGTTTTAGTCTCTGTGGAAGCCCTCTGCTGTTACCTGAGTAAATAAACTCCCTCTTGATGTTCCTCCCTCCAATTATGGACATGACACCTCTAAAACACTTTGTGTTCTTTCCCCGTGTATTCAGAGAAGGCTTTTATGGAAGTTCCCTTCCACTTGGGTGAGAGCCCCCTGTCGGCGCGCCCTGCGCAGGTCCCTCTGTCTCTAGTTTTACCAGTCCCTTTCCCTCCTAAGGCTGCAGTTAGGGCTGGTGCGGGGGAAGGGGGAGAGAGAGGCAAGAAGAGAGAGAAAGGTAAGTGGCAGCTTGTCCCTGTGATGGAGATGGAGTTGGCAGGTTCCCCATTGTTCTGTTGGCTCCGAGGGTCCCGGGAGAATCCGGTCTTCCTACTGAGGTGACAGGTAGGACAGGACTCTTCCATCAGTGTCGGCGGCCTCTGGGTTTTTATCCGTGTCGTCCAGTCCCCGTGATGGGAAGGTCAGTTTGATGGCGAGGAACCTTCTCAGGGATCTGCTGAGCAGCGTTTCTGGCCTGCAGGCGGGAGGGGAAGGGTAAGAGAGCCATGAGGAGCTCCTGTGAGGAGGGGTCGGATCAGCAGCTCCTGGCGCTTCAGCCCTTGTTATTTCTGGAGCCCTCAGGGATCGAGGGGAGCCGGGAGTGGGGATTGCGTTGCTTGGGAAGTAAATCAGCAAAGCTATTCTGGCTGATGAGAAGGGAGATGTGGGTGGGGAGTTTAGTGCCCTGCCCATCTGTGCTGAATTGAGACCAGGCCCCTGAGCCATCAGGGGAGGGCTCGTCTTGTTTTGGAGCTGCCCTTTATTTTAAGACTTGTTTGGGAGTTCCTCAGGCCTGCAGGAGCATGGCCGGGTGTCCACCTGCCCCGGGGCACCAGCGCTTCAGGGGCTCAGGAATCCCATCAGGCCCCCTACTCTGGGGCTGGGCAGCAGCGTCCATCCCCTGGCTGTCACCAAGGCCGTCCTCTTTCTCCCAGCTGGAAATCCCCGGCTCTCGAGGCTCCTTTGGCCACTTTGCGTGGGAATTGTGCAGGTGTTTGTCAATCTGTGACACCCTGAGTGTAAGAAAACCCACCAACCTTAGATGTGTGTGACGGGTGATGGTGCCTGGTTTGGTGGCGGAGGGAAGGTGGTGATGGGGTGTATTTCTATAACTTAGTTAAAAAAAAAAAAGTACGTGGAATCTGTCCCTGAAGCCCAAAACCAGGCCAGCAAGAGGTGGCCCAGGGTTCTCCTTCCGCTCCCTTCCACCTCCGTGAGACTTAAAAGCTGACAGAAGGTTGTGCTTCCCTCCTTGTCCATCTTCAGATCTTATCGGTGAGGGGAGGGAGCTTTTGAGATGGGAGGACTCTGCCTAGCAGCGTCTTCCCCTCCCTTCTTAATCACAGCTCTTGCTGAATCTCTAGAAAAGCCGTCTTCATTCCCCCCCTTTCCCCCCGCTCCCAGTTTGGACCGTGGAGCTCTAACTGGCTATAAAGATTTCCTCTAAGTGAGGTAGGCTTCTCCTGTCATTGGTACCCAGGGCAGCAAAGGAAGAGAGAAAGAAGAAATGGATGAAACAGTTTAAAAACTGAGGGTTTTTTTTTTTTTTTTTTTTTAATGTTTTATTTTGGTGCAGCTTTCCCTGTCTGTATCTGCTCCTCGCTCCTTTTTGGTGGTGGTGGCTGCCTCTGGCCTCCGCCCTCCCGCTCCTCCATCTTGTGGCCGTTGTGTTGGTCCTCGACATGTGGTCTGTCCTTGGGGTTGCCCCAGTTGTTTCTTCTTGGAGGGTGGGGGTGGCTTGTGAACTGATCAGCGATTATGCCTGTTTTCTTCATCTCTGTGTCTCTCCCTACTTCCCAGCCCACCTGGGCAGCAGAATCTGACAGGAGGGAAGGTGCCACAGGTGAGCATTTGAAACTAACAGGACTGATTTTCAAAAGAAGTAGTTTGGGGAAACCATTTATTACAGGGATGTTACCCCTATTCAAAGTATTTCTTGGAATGACCTTTGGAGTCTGTGGTGCCTGCTTTGGACAGCTGAACCCATGCTCATTCAGTACAGAGTCCAGTGAATGATGTCTCTGGTCAAGTGAGATCACAGGGGCAAAGCTCATGGACTGACTAGCGAGGAAAATAGCTTGGATTGAATTGTGTGGCTTTGAAGCTGGCTGTGAAACAATTTTGTAATTTCAGAGAGCGCCTTGCGCGATACCCACATTGTGGTAGTAAGCCGATAGCTTGACTCCTTGGAGGACATTATTAATTTGGATGTGGAAAACTTTCATTTGTTGGAAGAAATCTGTCCTGTTACTTTCTGGTCCTCCCAGGTTCTGACCTTACCAGGGGCCAAAAAAAAAAAAAAAAAGAAGAGGGAGATAAATCCCATCTGTGAATTTGTCTTATTGGCGCCTTTTCCCCCAGCTGTCTTCCAAGTATTATTTTTACTGTTAAGAAAATTTTTTTAAAAATGTGAAATGTAATGTTTTTACAGCAACAATATGAAATATATTTTATAAGGAATAAAATGGTACATTGTCTCATTTAATGTGTGCCTGTCCCTCTACCCCCTCCTCCTATAAAGGATAAGATTACTGTTGGTGGTGGTGGTAAACAAATGATGGCATTTGGGCCAGGCGTACACGTTCATTAGCTTATAATAATAGGGACCATTACCGGGGGCCAGGCCGAGTCCTCACATGAATAACCAAGTGCTTACCTAAATAACCCAATGAAAGAGTTACTACTACTATTCTCATTTTACAGATGAGAAGAGGGAGGCACAGAGGTTAAAGAACTTACCCGAGGTCATAGACTGGGAAATGAGGGCACTAAGATTTGTAACCCAGGCAGTAAGCATTTTTCTGTACTGCTTAAATGGACAGTGGGGAGCATGTTCTTGGCTATATTCCTGAGTTTGTTGAGGAATTGGCAGATGACTTAGGGAAAAGTCATATTCTGCTTATGGGATGGGTTCTGACTACAGGGAGCAACACGGGGCACTCCCTGAGTTCATTGATTCCATGTCCCGTGATGGCGCAAAGGGCTAGATAAAGCTGGTCTGGGTGGGAAGCAGAAAGTAACATCCTATTCTTGCTGTACTGGAACTGCTGTATGCAAGTTTAGCTTCCGGGACCACAGGCATCTCTGGGAGTGGGACCTAGGGACCCCTAACGGGGCCTGACGGAGAGAGTGATGTGCCCCAGACCCCAGGGCTGGATTACATCACTCAAGCCCAGCAGCTGGTAATGCTGGTATGGGGGTGCTCTTCTGGCCTTTTCCGTTACCTTGTGGTAGAGCAGAGGGCTTCTTTCTGCCCCTTTTTCCTTGCCCCCACCCCCCGCC